GGTAGCTTTGACACCTGCAGCTACTGGAAATATTCATCTAAGAAGAAATCAAACTGGTGGAAGCCTGAGGAAATATAAATACAGTAAATGGATTGAAAATACTTCATCTGGTGCTTACAGATTGTGCAGTCATGAAACATTTTGCTAATAATCCTCCTAGAACTCACTAAAATTTAGCTTACTGTGGGGTTAGAGCAATTATCAAATATAACAAGAGGATGAAATAAGAGGAGATAGCAGTATTATGGATTAAAGCTGTGTTTATGCATCAAACTGTATAAAGGTAGAACAGTACTCTAAGATGATAATTCCTTTGAAGGTCTGCTGGTATACACATCTAGCACTTTTTTAAAAAAAAAAGTTTTTCTGTAGAAGTGGAAATGGGCTCTATTCATATGTGATTTTGTAACAGTGCATCTTTTTAAAAAGACATTGCAAACTCATCCTGACAGACAAAAAGTCAAATTCTCAAAGGATCAGTGTACTTAGAAGTCCAAGTAGTTCTCTTTATAATCCATGTTGTTCGAACAATTCCTCTGCATTTGACAGTTTCGAAGAGTCTACACTGGACTCAAATTGTGCTCTGCTTTGGTGACTGTTACTTGTTCGAGTTCTCCACCACTTTTACAAATATACTCTCAAGTATCTTCCTCCCCAGTACGGTTTTGTGATCTTGAACTCATATCTTTGTTAGTCGTCATTGGCGTAAATAATGCCAATCCACATCAGTACACTTACCATACCTCTACATATCATTGCAGGAAAACACTACGAAAAATGAGAACAGGGGCATAAGAAAACTTTCATCTAAATTTATTAAACTGTCAGTGAAGTCATCATGCCTACCAGCTGTAGAAAAACCTCTGAAGTCAGTCACAACTGACTCAGTAGTTTGTAAGAATCTTGAAGTTCATGAAGTTGCTTTTCAAGCACCTTCTTCTGCTTTCCACCATTCAATGTTACCTGCTCCCTTCTTCTCCAACATGACAGCAAGAAGGAAGAAACAGAATCAGAAACAGTTGTGAAACATAATTATGCTATTTTCATTCTGCTGCTAAATGTCAATAACAACTAATTTATGAATGTGATTACATGAACATAAGAGAAAAACAGTGGACTTGATTCAGAAGGTCTGTTCCAAGCTTTGAGCGTATTTTCTGTGCAGGACAGTACTGTAATGGTGGCTTTTGCTATGTACAAAAAGAGGTCACTGAGAATTAATCCATTAATTGCCTTTTATACACTGCTACAGTGTCCAGATGTCATTTGATCCTAGCTCTTTTACAAGCTTAGCTACTTTTTAGCACCTTTAACTTAGGTACAGAACTGAGTATATGGTAATAATTATAAAATAAGAATAGTCATCATAGTAACGTAGTGTATAAGTAATTCATTCACACAGCCTAGGTCAGTAGACCTTTGATAGACTAAACAAAAGTTACCTGATCTCAATATATCGAATCAGTGAGGCAGATGAGTCAGGGTTTTTCCCAGGGCAGAAGGCATGAAGAAACAATGTCAGTGCCGGGTAGCCAATAAACATAATGTATCCCATTTTTAGATTAAGATGCGTGATTAGTATTACATAAATAAAGAATTTTTATATGATTCAGATAATAATTTTAAGAATTCTGGTATTGAGATTGCACTCCTTTTCCCTTTAATGAATGTACATGCAAGTTCTTACATGTATAAATTCAAACTCTTCTTCAAACTTCAGTTTTATTTTGTATTGCATGTAATCATTTGCATCTATTTAATATTACACTATGAATTCATTACAGGATATGTATTTGCCATGTTATATCTTCACAGCATTAACTGACCAATTAAGTTATTACACTTGCTGCTGTCACTGGGAATGCCTATGCTCTCTGAACACATTTCCTGAACACTTCTGGTTCAACAGGTAGTGTTCAGGGGCCAGCAATGGACATGGGCCCTCCAAACCCCAATGTAATTCATTCAGACCTGCTTTTGTGCATCTCTACGTGGCAGAGTTTTGCACCATATAAACAGCCCCACTGCCAATATGTTAAGAAGACAGAATAGCAGAAGTTTACATCTGAAAATTACTTTGGCAGCCATGAAAATTAAAATGAAAAGTTAAGGGCTTTTTCCAGTATCTGCAGGTTATAAAAGCAGCCCAGTGACAAAAAATTCTTTGAATTAATAGGGACACTGCCATCAGTCATTGGTAAGAACGGTATTGACTTCTACTTATAGAGAGCTCTGCAGACATTATTCTTCTAGAAAACAGTTATTACTCACAGGTTAAGGTAGTCAACTTTGTTAGGAAGCAGTATTAAAAGTTTTAAACGTGCACAATGTTTTTATGAAAAATACCAACAATGTTAGTAACTTGATTTCAAGTATTGAATACAGAAGATTTACTTATGTGACTAACAGTGATACTTATATAGAAACTTCTCTATTAAAATATCTTCCCATTAAGCCTCAGGCATTCCAAGCTTGCACATTACAGAGAACCAAAAATTCCAGTTACCATGTTCTGGAGAGCATATGTGATCATAGCAAGGGAGATATATATTTTATATATGTATAGGATAGATACAAACCATTGTGGAAGTGCACAAGATTTTGAAAGATTAGGATGTAAATTTCTAAGACTAGAGTAACAGGATCACTTGACATAATGATGTTGTTTACAAAATTTTGTTTACATACCCATAACAGAGCTGCAGCACACAATAATTTCTTTTCTGACTGTTGATCAGACTTGGAAGTCAATCTGCAGGAACACCCCAGCAGGCAGAATGGCCAGAGAACAAAGTTAAGAGTTGGCTGTGTTGAAATGAAAGATATGTCCCAATTGTGCTGATAGAAACATAAGACAGTATTTATATATATCTTGGAACTCCTCTCCAGCAGGCCTGTCACATTTTTGGTGGTGGTGGTCTTTATTCTCCAGGATAGTATTCAGTTGTCAACTCAGAGTGAAGCTGGATTAGAACAAGGTAGTTCATCCATATGATGCAGTCTGCTGGGAGAATTTTGCCATAGGTTGCATCTGGACTATTTTATCTTCTTCCCTTACACTTACCATTGTGTATAATATATTAATTTATATTACACATAATACTAGAAGAACTAAATAAAGTTTCTGAGGCAGGAGCCTAACCATTCCAGTTAATCACTAGCTTCAAACTGAAAATAGTCAGAATTGTTTAGATACAGGATCAAGTTTGTATTATTTATTGGAAAAGAAGCAGTCTCCCAAAAGTCTGCTCCTGAACCTGTTACAGGGTCACTGGGATGTCGTCAGTGCCATCCACAAGATTAATAGCATGAGTGAGAGAAGCGATTCAAATTCCTGAATGTTTCAGACCGTGTGGAGTATTTGAAACATCTGCACAGGGCTTGCAGCTACTGGACCTACAGGAGAACTGCACTCCTCTGGAGGAATAGCTGGAATGCAGGTGGGATATCCTACTGATCTTTCCTCAGGCTTCTGCGTTTCACCTGATAAACACTGATAACATATTTCCGGTTACAAGAAGAAAAGAGGAAATATGCATTTATCAACAATATTTTTCATTTCACTTTCCAAGTGAAATTTATTTAACAACCTCAAAAGCAAGTTAATTGCACTAATGTCTAAGTATCATTACTATAACACGAGCAATTTTAAATTTGTCCTAGATAATGCGGGTTTTGATGGATGTTCTGTAAGTATGCAGAACTGCATAAACATGTGAGATGGAAAATAATTCTGTAGTAGGATCTGCTTTTTTTGGGGAGTTGGACTAGATGAGCTCCAGAATTCCCTTCCAACATAAATTAGTTGATTTTATAAAATAAAGATGCAGTTTTTAAAAACACCTTCTGTGAAAAAGCTTAGTACCTTTGATGAGAAGTATTTAATCATAGGAGATAATAAAGAACTCTGTGATCACCCTACTGTAATGTTCAATACTGTATCAATTTCTAAAAAAAAAAAAGGAGGAATGAGTGCGATCTTACTACTTTATTTTTCACTGTTAAATATTTTTCTTTTTACAGTAAATAAATGCACTCTAAAAATGTAGGTCTTGTCAGGGAGATGCACTGAAACTCACTCAACATTAAATTAAGGTCAGTAAGACTACAAAGATGAGATTAATGTGCAAGTAGTTTAAATTTTCTGTATGAAAATGAAAATAGATCTTACTTAAAATATTTGGGACATTGCATGAAAGAAAAATCTCTACTTGTATATTGAGAAATGGAGACCTTCAAAAAGGTAATTTTTAGAAATTATACAGGACTTGAAAAACAGAAATTGAATATAAACCCTGAAAAATACAGAGCAATTCTAATATCATAGCCAAAAACCAATTGAATTCTGAAGATAATAAATTTGGTATTTAATAATATCATGTTAGACATTGGGTTTAGCATGTTCCATCTTTCAAAGTCATTTGTTCCATCTTTCAAAGCCATTTGAACAACAGGTTAAGTTACAAAGAGCTCTTGTGCTATCAGTTTTCCAGTAAAGCCCTGTCCAAATCGTTGGGAAGTAAAAGAATGGCAGAATGGTTTAGCGCATCACCTCATTATTGTCCAAGTTTCACTTGCTAGACTGTGATAAACCTCTTAGGTATTTTCCCCAGAGAGGATGGAGAATGTGGGTGACTGAACTAGAGAGCATCCAATGAGATAGGTTATGTTTTAAACCAGCTTTAATCTGAATTTTACTATCCAAACCAAATCCATGTTTCTATAATGTGGTCTCTAAATTGATACAGTGACAATCTCCTGTACCCTTGGTGTGTGGTTGAAGCATGGACATACCAGGAGGCCTCCAAAGTAGGGAAGAAAAGGTGTCACTCTATGAGCCAGATGAACTCCCCAAGGCATCTGTAACCTGGTGGTTTTCAAAAGTAATAATCTCCTGTTCTGCCCTATCCCCTTTGTCAGTAAAAACAGATCTATCTGTGCTTTCCCCTATTTTTATGTTCTGTTATCAAATACTATGAAGTTGCAACTGTGTATCCTTATATAAGAACATTAAGTATTTTTACTACATAAACATAATGAGAACTTTTTGGAAAAACATGTACAGCAAGTCAGTCATTATTCTGGGTAACCTGAAGGATGTGTGATCATTTCACAGAAATTTCACACAATATTCTGAGTTGGAAGGGACCCACAAGGATCAGCAAGTCCAACTCTTACGTAAATGGCCCATCACGGATCAAACCCACGACCTTGGTGTTATTAGCACCATGCTCTAACCAACTGAGCTAATCTCATTTGATCATTTATGGACAGCAATCCAGGAATAGGACTACATAGGTGACAGATTATGTATTTTGGAAACAAAAAACACCACCAAGCTAGTGTAAAACATGGTGATTGTTCAGTCCGAACAAAAAAAAATACTCATTTTCTGCTCAAGTTCCTTTAAACTTGGTGGGGATTTTAAGTATCAATTTGCAGATGCAGAAAGAAAAAGATATTAAATTTACTGAATTTTAAAGTCTCCATTTAAAGTCTCCATCCAGACTAAGTCTGTAGTTACCAGTTAAAAGAGATAAGCACCTCAAACCCCCAAAACATATCTGAACAAACCTCAACCCTTGTATGTCCCACCTCTGTGACAGAACGCACAAAATACTTTCCAGTGGTTCCCTCCCTCTCTCTCTCCCCATCCTTTATTACTGAATTTGCCTGTCCTATCATGTTAATTGGACTAGTTGATATGTCACTGTTATTATCAAAGTTTTCTTTAATAATCATCTTGTCTTTTGCAATTCTAAAATGATAGATCTGTCTTGTTGATTGAAAACATTGAACTTGAATGTAGAATGAAAAAAATACGGATCTCTGTACCAGTTTCTTCTTCTCCATTGATTTCCTCTTTTTATGATTTTAAATACCCTAGAGATATTTTTAGAAGCTAAAATAAGGTATTAAAGACATTTCTGTTGTCAGTTTTATCCCTTTATGATGTCTAGTCTTTCTTAGTTGAGGTTTCTATTTGTTTAAAGCTACCTAGCTGAAATGGAAGCCACCCACATAATTTTTCCAAGAAAATTAAATATTTGCAATGTAATACTTGTACTGTAGTTCCATTCCTCCATTATACATACTACATCTAGCTTCAGTGGTCTGAACAAGCGAAGGCATGCACATAATTAATTCCATGAGGGACAGCTTATTCATATATTTGCACACACAACTTTTGCTCTTTGTGTATCAGTTGCATGTAATTTACAATGACTATTTCTGCTAACGAGTACTCAGTGTAAATTAAATTCTAAATAAAGCTCCAAGTTTTCAGACATATTTTTGTTGCTGCTTGATCAAACATTTTCTATTGTCCTACATGCATGCGTGCACACACACATACTGGAAATGGCTTTTTCTATTCTTCAGCTTGTGCTATGCAGTAAAATGGTTATATAAATAGCAACATGGCAACAGTTGCTTGCACATGTGGATGTCATAAACATTTTGTGTTCCTTTACAGCCAAATTCAATTCAAGGCGCTGTCGCAGCAGTGGGCCTCCTCCAGGAGCCGGCTCGGGAGAGGGTCTCTCAGGCACCAAGGTGATTTGCAAGTTTCAAGGGAGTAACACATACGGTGTGGATTAGCTGTAAATTAAACACACAAGTGTTTTTTTTATAAGTGACATATATATAGGAGGAATTTCTTCACATAAAGGGTGATTAGACATTGGAATGGACTGCCAGCGAGGTGGTGGAGTCACTATCCCTGGAGGTCTTTAAGGAAAGACTGGATGTGACACTTAGTGCCATGGTCTAGTTGACATGGTGGTGTTGGATCACAGGTTGGACTCGATGATCTCATAGGTCTTTTCCAACCTAATTGGTTCTTTGATTCTGTGATTCCAGGGGCGTGATGACAGGTCTTGTCCCCCCCAGCCCTGCCCCACCCTCGCCCACCACGCAGCTCGCACTCCTTTCCCACACATATACATAAATGCACACAGGATCTGTGCTTTAAAACAACCATCCAACCAACCAAAAAAAAAAAAAAAAAACAACCAACCAACCAACCATAGGAATGTTGTTTAAAAAAAAAAAAAAAGGCACCCTTTTTCAGGATTGTGAGTAAATATGACCCAAGGGGCTTCCCAGAGGTATCCCAATTCCCTCTCAGCTGTTGCCCCCAGGGCCTCCCATCAGCCCACCCTGGCCACCTTCCTGAGCCCCAGCTCCCTGCAGAGGTGCCCCTTGCTCACTACGGAGCTCCTTCCCCCAGCACAAAGCCGTGCCTTGATCAATGCCCAGGCTTGGGCTCCCATTTCAGTGTTATACCATTTCTACTGTGTCCACTTCTGGGCCCCTCAATTCAGGAACAACATTGACATGCTAGAGCGTGTCCAGAGAGGGGCAATAAAAGTTGGTGAAAGGTCTGGAGCACATGTCCTATGAGGAGCAGCTGAGGGAGGTGAGGTTGTTTGGCCTAGAGAAAAGGAGGCTCAGGGGTGACCTTATCACTCTCTACAACTACCTGAAAGGAGGGAGTAGCCAGGTGAGGGTCGGACTCTTCTCCCAGGTAAACACTGACAGGACAAGAAGACAGTCTTCAGCTCCGCCAAGGGAGGTTTACATTGGATATTATAAAGAATTTCTTCACAGAAAGGGTGATTAAACATTGGAATGGACTACCCAGGGAGGTGGTGAAGCCACTGTCCCTGGAGATTTTTAAGGAAAGTCTGGATGTGGCACTTAGTGCCACAGTCTAGTTGACATGGTGGTGTTTGGTCATAGGTTGGACTCCATGACCTCAGAGGTCTTTTCCAACCAACCTGATTCTTTGATTCTGTTATTCCAGGGGCTCGACAGCGGCTCCTGTTCCCCCCCAGCCCTGCCCACCCTCGCCCACCCCGCGCCTCGCGCTCCTTCCCCGCGGCCGCCCAGGACGGGGCTCTAAGATGGCGGCGGCTCCCGCCGGCGGGCAGGTGAGCGGGGCGGCCTCTCCCCTTCCCTTCCCTCCCCCCGCCCCGGCTGCGCCGCTCCCCCGGCTGCCGGCCGGAACGGTGGCCACCCCTGGCGCGGAGCCTCGCAGCCCGCCCGGCCCGGGAGCACCCCCGGCCTCGCCCTCCCGGTCTGCTGGGGGGGAGAAGCGGGAGATTTCCGCACCGCCACCACACCCCCGAAGCGAGGCGGGCTCGGTCCTCCCGCGGCGGCTGAAGGGGCTCGGCTCCCCCGACCGCCCTGGGCGGCAGCGGGCGCGGCTCCTCTGAGCGAGCCGGTCCGATCCTTCTCAGGCACCGCGGCACCCCTGAGGTCTGCAGCCCCTCCGGGGCCGCCGGCTGCTGTGGCGGAGAGCCGGGAATGACCGGCAAAGGGCTCTAGGGCGGGGAGAGGATGAGATCTCACGTAACGCAGTATGCAAAATACAAATCTTTGGGCACAGCCTTACTGACTTGTCGAACTCGGAACCCGGGATCTGTGCTGTCTGGAGTAGGTGTGCGTTCCCCATTGGCACTCCACTCTCGCCATCGGTCTGTCCCTCTGTGCCGGGGACAGACATCAGCACGCTTGGGGTGTCGCTTTTCTCCACAGAAAAACGAGCTGCTTTTCTGCAGAGAACACTTAGTGTTCCCTAGGCAGATTTTGCCCACGTAGACAGAAAACTACAGCCATTTGTCCCAGGTTTTCCCCCTCTGTGACAGCTGCAGTCTGGGAGCCGTACCGAGTGCTGGGCAAATGGGCACTGTCCCACACCCGCTCTGTGGAACAAGTGGCCCATGTGGAGTCCCGGGAGTGCTTGGCTGCTTCAGCTCAGAAAGTGCCACAGGTCTCCCTCGTTTGCAAGTTAACCTGTGTATATTCAGCATGCCCAGAACACACTGGAGTGGTTGTGCAGCCAATACAGGCCATTCTGGACATGCCTGTTGGTGCTCCCAAGGCGTTTCATATTTGTAAAGTTGTATCAGTTTTGTGGTTTAAACAATAGTGATCCTAATGATGTTGGGCATAATAGCTCATGTAGAAAGCTCATTTCTTCTGATACACATTTTACTTTTTATCAGCCACTAGTAACAGAGATCCATAATTCTCTTGTTAATGGGTTTCACTGCTTTTACAAATTAGAACACTTCAGTAATATACTCTGAAAATAAAAATTGTGTCTGCGTTTTTCAACGTTTAATGTACAAGCAGTGTACTGGATGCATAATTTTAGAATGTCATGCATATAGTAAAGTTGCATAGAATGAAGTTGCAACTGTATTGCAAAGTAAACAGTTTCATGTTTATCACGCGTATGGGTTTGGCTGACCTGAGTGAGAAGCCTGTCAACAGTCAACATACATTACTTTCTCATTTCACGTCTATCAACTACGATTCTCCACAGGAAAAGAAAATTAGTGGAAGTCTAGCATAATTGTTGGACTATTTTTATCAATTTAAAATAGAGATTGCCAATTTAATATCTTTATCTCAGGCTATATTACAGTTTGCAAGGTGCTGTGATATAGATATTCTTTTTGCTGTGCATATTACTTTAAACACTAAATTTGCATATGTTGTAGTGAATCCATAATGATGCAGTGTATTATACTGACAAATGTACTATATACTGCTAGGCAGTAGAAAACCAGCTGAAGATCTGCGGCTTTAAGAGCAATGGGGATGTCATAGGATTGTATCTGGCTAGACAGTAAGTAAAATATGTTTGTCCTTTTGACTTTTACTAAAAGTAGAGCACACAGTAAATTGTAACCTTTCATATTGCTTTCTGTATCAGGTACTTGCTGAACATCATTTATATGTGAAATACCAGTAAAATATATTTGTACCTAGTCCATACACATTGCGAATGAAGAAATGGTGAAGGTACAGTAAGACACACAGCAGAGCTGTTCTCACAGTGAAGCAGTTACCTGCCTCAGCTCTAGATACACAATCCATCTCCAGCAACCCAGAATTGTTCCAGGATCTGTGAGTTCATAGAGTTCTGCATGAACTTCTACCACAGGAGCAGAGGAATGAGGCTTGATGGCTAATCTCTGCCTGTTCTAACTGGCTCCTAAGGCTGGGTGGAAGGAGTATCAAGAAGGCAAATGTAAAAACACAGAACCTGTGGAGTCTAAAGACTGCCAAATTTTTGACCTCCCTGAAGAAATCTGTTACTGCAACAGTGAAACTCATTGGTAGCACCTTTGAAATTACCTGCATCTCTACTGTTAAGAACTGAAGGGAGGGCAGGGCAACATGAAGTGAATACAGGCACAAGAATGCTTGTTTTGGGCAGGCAGTACTGATCACAGAACTGATCTCCTCTTAGAGCTTTATGAAATAGCTTGAGATGTAGGGCAGATGAGGAGAAGAAGCCATGCTGAAGGAAGGCAAAGCTTTCATGAACCTGTGGGTGATCTAGGTTGATAGAGGTGTATGTTGTAGTATGAACATGCTGAGAGGCTACCATTGAGGGATGGATGCATGACAGGACATACTTCAAAGTTTTTGGAAGGCGTGCTTTGAATTTCTGGCAGGGCATAATTCCAAGTGTTGCATACCTGTTTGCAGCCTCACGACTGCATCTACTGTTCGTAAGGCTGATATCATATATGGGGAACTAATGCAGTTTAATAATTCCGGGACAAGGTTTTTAAGGTCCTGGGTCCAACGAATGAAGAAAAAAAAAAAAGGTATTATGGAATCTCAACGTTGTCTAGCTTGTTTTTAGTGGAAATCAGGTGGTATTGAAAATCTAAATGTGTCCACTAGTGTGTTTGAATTCCTTATCACATCTCTTGATTTACACTGGGAAGGTATTTGATGCTTTGTGAAAAGTAAACTTAAAGCATGTAGTTACTGTCAAATTTCTTTTAAATAAGCATTTTAGAAAGAAGAAAACATAAAAATTAAGAGAGAAGTTTAAATAACGAAAAAATTACAAAATACATATATATATTCTAAACAAGACAAGAAAATTACTATAATGTGTATGCATAAGAGAATTAAGACTGTGTATACAGTCTTATTAGGCACATTTTTTTTATTTTAAATGCTTGAATGTATGCCCTCACTGGCCATACTTTTTGGTATAAATAAAAAGAAATGTTCAGATGGCAGATACAGAAGTGATCTGTCTTCCCATGAAACCATTTTGAGACAGATGATGCAAGATGGCTTCTTTGATGATTGGATAGAAGTGAACTCCTTTTATTCTATACCAACTTATATAAACTTGAAGTACAGCCAAACTCAGTATGGTTCCTTAACTGTTGGTTTGACATATTTTTCTGCTGGCTGAAATAAGAAAGTAAAAAAATAATAATTAAAGTCAATCAAATAAGAGGGAATGAGTTTATACTTTTTAAAACACTACTCTTAAAGGGACATGAAACAATGTAAATTTGGACACTGAAAGCTGTCATCCTGGGAAAACTGATTAACTTAGCAGTAGGTAGAAAAAGAGTGCTGCAGGCCAAAAAGGATCAGTTTATAAAAGACATACAAAGTTTGGAAGGCATCTAGAAAGGGACAGGCTCTTTTAAAAATGTTAGAGGAATTAAGCTCTACCTGGGGCAAATTAAATGCCTTAAATACTACCAAAAAAAAACAGATCAAGGCTTGGAGATAGTCAAAATGAGGCTGTTAGACAGGGAGTAAAGCCAATTAAAATGTAAACCTGTAAACTAGATATAGAATGGCAGTGACAAAGAATATGAGGAAATTTTGGCTTTGCTTCCTGAAAAGTAGTGCAGGGGTTTACAGGAGAATTAGTTAGTAGCTCTGTAAGAGTTCTGTATGTCCTGTCAACAGTCATCTGCCTGTCTGTGCCATAATGTTTTTTCTGGTTACTTGTGACAATATACACAAAAGTATGTATTTGGAGGGTTAGTTTTTATGAATTATCTGAAGAAGTTAAATAAAGCGTTTAATGAAGTAACAGCATAGGATAATCTGACTTTCTGAAATAAAGGACACTAAAGGTACAGCACCTCAACTTTGCAGGGTTTGCTTTTGACAGATTTTTTATTTTCAAATGCAAGATCAAAAAAGGTGTCTATACCTGGAGGGTGTGTTGAAAAAAACAAACAAAAAACAAACAACATGGGAAGCTAGAGACTAGGCTTCACAGCTGGAAAACAAACATGATTTTAGGCTGATGATGTGAGGTTAATTTTTATCAATTCTGTTCGTTCTTTCTGAAACACTGGTCCCAGTCTTGCAACACATTAAAATCCACAAGGAAATTTTTATTATGTCAATTAAAATTTGCAATATAAAGGTAATCTACAATTATTCTAGTGGCAATTAAGAATATTTATTTAAAACAATGAAAAATCAAGAGGAGCAATTAGTGAAAATTACTCAGCAGCTCAGTAATATTCTGTGTAATTTGTTATTTATAGCACACTAGCAAGCTCAAAGTGCTAGATACACAATTAAACAAAAAGCCCTACTGGCACATGGGAGATAGTTTCAGCCTTAGTGGATGTACTAAGTTTATGTGAGAGCAGGAGAGGAGTGAGAAAAGGGCAAAAGATTTCACAATATGCACTAATATGAAAAATAATAAGAGATGTGCATTGTTGTGCTCGGTGTCTGGCTTCTGTTGGCTTCTCTGGCACTGTGGTCGGACAATCCCCACTGCACCTTCAAAGCAATTTTCCTTTTAGATTTGTGTCCTCAGGGTGCCAAATTTCTCCTCCTGTGTTCTGAGTAGGATTTCCAAACTGCAAAGTATATGGCACTCAGACTCCCTGAGAAAATAAATGCTATTATGGAAAAAACAAATAATTTATCACTTATTTTGTTGCTTGCAAGTGTGTAGAATGCTTACACTGTCTCTGCCATCTTGTTCTTTTTGTCTTTCTCTGATATAACTTCCTTTTTACTTCTTGTATATTATTTATAAAAAAATTAAACTGTTTGTAAAATTATTAAGCACTCTTGTTAAGAAATTTGTTACTCTTTTTCTTTTCTTCCACCAGAGGACTAAGAAGTATCCCAAGTCTCTCACAGTTTAATAGGTTAAAGTATTTGTGGCTTAACAACAATAAGGTAATAAGATATTCATTTAAAGAGCAGAACAGTGCATCTATGCTCCCTGATTATTATTATTTTTAATTTTTTTTCTAGCATAAAGCATTATATAATTGTCAAGCTAATAAATTATTTTTAATTTCCAGGCATATTTAACTGTGAAATGAGAAAAGATTTTTTTTTTTAAACATCCCAGAGTTTAAGCTAATATATTTTCCTTTAGGTTCACATCAGATTTATAAATCGTGTTTATTTAAGAAGCTGAGGTTTTGTGCTAATTCCTTAGCAATAAAAAGAAAGCAGTTCCCAATGTAGCTGGTGTACCCTGCCCAGCAGAGCGGCAGCTCTTGGAACAGACCGAGGGGTGATGTGGTTATAGGACAGGAGTGGACGGCAGGAAACGCGTAGCTCTTGTTTCACGCCCTTGCAGACATGCAGAGTTTATTTCCTGGCAGGATGGTGGTCAAAGTGAGGCTCCTGTTTGCCCTCATGCACAAAAGGGTGACATACAACTCTTTGAAATGAGCTTCTCCCTGTGCATGGGAAGCAGCACTGGAATGCTCGGGATGATGGGGTATCTGCTGCTGTTACACAGGTCACTGTGTCACCTAAACTTGTTAGACTTACGAGATTTCCAGGC